CTGAGCTCTTTAAAAAAAAAAAAAATGTCAATGTCATGAAATACAAAGAAAAAGTTGGGAACAATTTCAGATTAAAGGAAATTAAAGAGATAGGACACTCTAAATGTAAGAACAATCTTGAATTCCCTTTGCATTGCATTTGCATTTCTAGGACATTTCTGAAACAACTGGCAAAATGTGAGTAGGTTCTGTATGAGATAAGGGTCAATATTATTACTTCTCATACAAATTTCCAATTAACCCAGCACCATTTATTATAAAAGTTATGCTTCCCTCACTGCTCCTCAGTGCCATCTATGCTATAAATCCAATATCCAGACATGTGTGGGTCTGGTTTGTTTTAACAAGCAAATACAAATGAACTTTCTCAGCCCTACTTGATTACACAAGTGGTGGCATAATGTACACATTTTTTTCTCCTGTATTTTTCTCTTAACATTGTATCTTGATGGGGATCTTTCTACATCAGTAAACAAAGTGCTTTCTCACCTTCTTTCCCTTTCTTTCTTTCTTTTTTTTTGGTAGTTCTGTTTTAATTTACTATTGTAGGGAAGGCAAAGCAATAGGACATCTGGTAGCTATATGGAAAAAATAAAATTGGATCCATTTCTTTTATCAGATATCATGATAAATTCCAAATAGAGATCCAAATGTAAAAACTGAAGTCAGAAAAGTATTAGAAGAATCGTATACCTGGTAAGAGGCTAATATCCAAAATATATAAGGAATTCATACAACTCAATAGCAAAAAAAACAAGCCAATTAAAAAATGAGCAGAGGATCTGAATAGACATTTTCCCAAAGAATACATACAGATGACCAAAAGGTACTGAAAAGGTGCTCAACATCACTAATCATCAAGGAAATGCAAATCAAAACCACAATGAGATATCACTTTACAACTGTTAACATGGCTATTATCAAAAAGAAATACCAAGTGTTGATAAGAATGTGGAGAAAAGGAACCTTTGTGCATTGTTGGTGGGAATGTAAACTGGTACAGCCATTATAGTAAACAGTATGGAGGTTCCTCAAAAAATTAAAAATATGACTACCATATGATCCAGCAATTCCACTTCTGGGTATTTATCCAAAGGAAATAAAAACAGTAACTCAAAAAAATATATGCATCCTCAAGTTCACTACAGCTTAATTTGTAGTCACCAAGACAAGGAAACAATCCAAGTGTCCATCAATGGATGAATGGATAAAGAAAATGTAATAGACACGCACACACACACACACACAGAGGAATATTATTCATCCATTAAAAAAAAAAGAAGGAAACCCTGCCATTTTTGACAATAAAGATGGACCTTGAGGACATTATGCTAAGTAAAATAAATCAGCCAAAGAAAGATAAATACCATATGATTTCACTTACAATTGGAATCTTTTTTAAAAAAATTAACTCATAGATAAAAAGAACAAATTGGTGCTTGTCAGAGATAGTGGATGGTGAGTGAACAAAATGGGTGAAAGTTCCAGTTTAAAATAAGTAAGTCATGGGGATGTAATGTACAGCATGGTGACTATAGTTAATAATACTGTGCTGTGTATTTGAAAGTTGCTAAGAGGGCGCCTGGGTGGTTCAGTCAGTTAAGTATCTGCCTTCAGCTCAGGTCATGATCCCAGGGTCCTAGGATCAAGCCCCGCATCAGGCTCCCTGCTCAGCAGGGAGTCTGCTTCTTCCTTAGCCCCTCCCCCCATGCTTGTTCTCTCCTGTTCGCGCGCACGCAAAAATAAGTAAAATCTTTAAAAAAAAAAAAGTAGGTAAGAGAACTTAAAAGTTCTCATCACAAGAAAAAAGTTTGTAATTATGTGCAGTGACAGATGTTAACTAGACTTACTATGGTGATCATTTACAATATATACAAATATCAAATCATTATGTTGTAATTAGTTTCATTACTCCTGAAACTAGTATAATGTATGTCAATAATATCTCAATTAAAAAAAAATAGGAAAAGAAACCCAAGTGAATTTCTTTATAACCAGGGAGTGGGGTAAGACCTGAGTAAAGATGAGTCAAATTCCAGAATTAATAAATGAAAAGATTAATAAATATGACATTAAAGAAAAAACTTTGGATGGCAAAAAAAATCATAAACTAAAAACATATTTGACAATCTACTGAAATATATTTGCAACTTATAATACAAAAGACTAATACCCATGATCTATAAACATGTTTTTAAAAATGAAGAGGAGGGGCACCTGGGTGGCTCAGATGGTTGAACATCTGCCTTCGGCTCAGGTCATGATCCCAGGGTTCTGGGATTGAGTCCCGCATCGGGCTCCCTGCTCAGCTGGGGAGCCTGCTTCTCCCTCTGCCTCTCTCTCTCTCTCTCATGAATAAATTAAAAAAAAAAAAAAATGAAGAGGAAAAAGACCAACAATTCAATTTTTAGCAATGGGCAACAGATAAAGAGTTCCCAAAAAGAAATGCAAATGGGCATGAATGGGAGATAGAGGTCTCTGAATTTACTTTATCACACAGTTTTTCCTTTGGAAAAATATAAGTTTTATAAAATTAAGATAAATAAATCAAGGGGGAAAAAGGTAATCTTTAAATACTGAGGAAAAAAAGAACTGAAACAAGTGAATCTCACTATAAATCAAGTTGGAGGCATAAAGACACAAGAAAAAAAGTTACTTTAAATGACTTAAAAACAATGTTTTGCCTGTACATCCGTAGTGGTATATACTCTAGGTCAAAAGAACTTATAGTCAGTAATAATATCATTTTTTTCAAAATAATTATAGTTATACTGTAGGTGATGGAAGTAGTAATAAAGTTAATATTATTATAAATAGATTTTTCAGAATAAGAGAAAAAAGATGCAAATAAAAAAGTTAAGAAATAAAATATAACTTTGCAATCTTACATTTGAATTACAAATACCAGTAAGAACTCAGGATCTTTTACTCATTAAAGAAAAAAAACTTATGAGGTGCGTGGGTGGCTCAGTCAGTTAAGTGACCGACTCTTGATTTCAACTCTTGATTTCGGCTCTGGTCATTATCTCAGGGTCCTGAGATCAAGCCCCATGTCTGGCTCCACACTCAGTGCAGAATCTGCCTGTCCCTCTCCCTCTGTCCCTCCCTGTGCTTGTCTGCTCTCTCTCTCTCCAAAATAAATAAATCTTTTAAAAAAGACTTCCTAACTGTCCACTGGAATGGCCTATAAGCCTAAAAATTATTGTGATAACACAATAGCTATTTATACCAGATTGTGATCTCTAAATACCATTTCCCATTAAAAGGAACTCCACAGAGAAATGGCTGATGCCAGGTAGAGAGTGTAAAATGTACAAAATAAGCCTAGATTAACTTATTGTGCCAGAAAGCAAGGATATTATCAAAGACTACCTGGATCATGTCAAAGTACAACAGCCATCCTAAAGGGATTCTCACTAACCTAAAAGAGAGCAATATATATCTTTTCAAATTGGTGTCTTCACTTTCTTTGGTTAAATACCTAGAAGCAGAATTGCAGGATTGTATGGTGGTAGTTCGATTTTTAGTTTTCTGAGGAACCTCCATAGTGGCTGTACCAATTTACATTCCCACTAACAGTGTATGAGGGTTCCCTATTCTCCACATTCTTGCCAGCACTAGGAAGAGATATACACACCCCTATGTTCATGGCAGCATTATTTACAATACCCAAGATATGGAAGCAACTTAAGTGTCCATCAATAGATAGATAAAGAAGGTGTGATGTGTATATATATGCGCATGTGTACATACATACATACATATACATACACACACACACACACATATACGTACAATAGAACATTACTCAGCCATAAAAAAGAATGAAATCATGCCATTTGTGACAACATCGATGGACCTAGAGGGTATTACGCTCAGTGAAATTAAGTCAGATGGACAAATTCTGTATGATCTTACTCTTACATATGGAATCTAAAAAACAAAACAACCAAGCAGACAAAACAAAACAGAAGCAAACTCATAAATACAAGAAACAAACTGGTGTTTATCAGAGTGGAGAGGAATTGGGGATGCGTGAAATAGGTGAAGGGGATTAAGAGGTACAAACTTCCAGTTAATAAAATAAGCCATGGGGATGTAATATACAGCATAGGGACTACAGTCAGTAACATTGTAATAACTTTGTACGGTGACAGATGGTGACTAGACTTACTGTGGAGATCATTTTGTAATGTTTAAAAACACTGAATCTCTATGAATGTATGCATAAGACCAATAGGATATGGCATGTCAATTATACTTCAATAAAAATTAAAATAAAAAGGGACAATTTGCACTGAAAAGAATGGCTGAAATGGAGTAAACAACATCAAATATATAAAAATTATGAATATCATCAAATAAATAACCACAACTTACTGGTCACCACTGGAAGTTGCTAGGGCATCAACTCACTTCTTTGAAAACTTATAAACTGGGAAAAATCAAGTATTCATCCTGCCAAACTATATTTCAGGGTAACCAAAGAGATGATACGGGAAAGTTTTCCTTTATTAAAAAAATCATTCCTAGCTAATAAATCAGAAGTAAGGTTTCTTGTTTTTGTTTTGTTTTGTTTAAAATCACTCTTTGAATCACCTAATGAAATACTAGACTTAGGCAAGAATCATGATGGGTTACAAAAATCACTGGGTGTAAGGCTGATGGAGAACTTTACAATAAAGGTATCAGACTAAGGCTACCTGAACCCACTGATCAATTCTGACATAAAAAGAGGGGCAATCAGTCATTGTGCACCTCCATTCAAACTTTTTAACTGCATAAAAATTAATGGGATTCTTTAAAACATTTTCTTGCTTGGTATGAATTTTTATACAATCTTTACCGAAAGTATAATGGTAAACGTTTTTTATTTTTTATATATTTCTATGTTTAATAAGGAAAATTCACATATTCATAAAGAATTTTAGTTCTATTTCAATATGTAACTGTTTCTCAAAAACAGTTTTAATTGACTTTAATCTCTCAGTAATACTTACTGCGAATTCACCTCTTCTACTAATTGCGTAAGCTTTCTCCAGGGATTATACTCAGAATCAATGCTATAAAGCCGCATGTGCAAGGCTAATACATGGAACAGTTGATCTAAATAAATTGAAGAAAAGGTAATTAGAAAGTTCACACACTTCTTCCAGGACAAAATTCAGACAAAATTTCTAGCTAATTCATGTGGAAATATTTCCCATCCTCATAATTATAATTCACCAAGTTTAAGTATCAACTACTTCATGCTCTCTTTTAAGGTAAACACTGAAATATATATCCAAAAAACTTCTACTGGAATCTGGACTATTCTTATGCTCAATATTAATACTGGAATGGTTTGTTTTCCTCATCTCCTGTCACAGACCTACTTTTCCTTGGCTTTATGCATCAGACTTGACAACTGGCCCTTCTCACTCCTATGGTTGTCCCTAACAAAGATTTACTATTATCAATACCCTAACCTGAGTAATACTGACAATGACATCCACATAAATTGCTATTAGATGAAATTATTTACATAGTATTTTCCCCTAAATCCTCTTTAGACTGAATTGTGACTTCATTATCTTTTGATTCAACATGAGGAAAAAACTGAAATAACAGTATTACTTAGCACAGCTATTCTAGCTGTTTCCATTCTTCAGTCTAAACCTTAACAATAATCTATGAGTGTTAGCTTTAAACAAAATTCTGCTCATGAGATTTGGGGGGAAAAAAGCCTTTTCTTTGAAACCATTCAGAAGAAAACCCTAAATTTTGCTTTCATATCACATGTCCTTTTTTGGCGGTAAAAATGACAAGGAATGGATTAGATTTTTCTGCCACAAATACTCAAAAACATGTGTGACTAAAAAGTCATTTTTCAGAAAATCAGATAATACTTTCTGACATATGACTGAAATTAATTCTTAAAGCCAGACAGAAAAAAAGCCAAATAACACAAGCATACTGTTGTCACTTATTCTCTAAATTAAAATAACCCAAAACGAAACAAGATTTTGTTTCTCTCAGCAACGACTTAGAAACCAACTATATTTTAGATTAATTTAAGATCCACCAATATGATTCTTGGGGGGGGTAGTAGTAGTAGGGGTAATAGTAGTAGTAGTTGTGGTTTTGGGAAGCTATTTTAAGACGTATGAGAGCTATAGGATGAACAAAGTAAACGTTCTACTCTGTGGGGCAGGTAGAGGAAATGGGAGGAGGGCAAGGGAACTGAATCTTAACACTCTCAATACCTGTAAGTTTCATCCTGATCTCTCTAAAACAAACAGAAGAATGTAAATACCTTAACCTGCTTCGTCTCATGTCTATAGGTCAATGTATAGCATAAATCCTCTCTTAAAATTTCTTCATCCTATTAATACCCACATTAGCTGAGTATGTGTTACATGCCAGGCACTATTTTGAAATCATTTAACATAGATTATCTCAATTACTTTTCACAAAAATTCTACTTTGTTATCCCCAGTTATAAGACCAGTTAAGTTTCCCAAATTTCCAGTTTTTCCAGTAAACTGGTTCAACTAATAACACTGACAACAGGGATGTTTTCAGCAGAGAAATAAAATGATGAAAGATATATTGGTCATTTTATTTCAATTCAATTACACATAAGAGATTGTTTTTACCAAGTACATAATTTATAATAAAAGTGTCTAAAAACCTGAAAGTGTTAAAAAAAAAAAAAAAAAAACCTAAATTCCTCTAGCAGAAAAATATTAACTCAAATTGAAAGGTGTGGAGTTTTACATTTTTTTTATATGTGTTAGCTAAATCAAAGAGCTGTTTTTAACTACTTCGGAAACTTATGTACTATATGTTGGCTAATTAAATTTAAATTAAAAAAAAATTTTTTAAAGAGCTGTTTTTAATATTTCAAGATGAAAGTCAGTTATCAGGAAGTTTATCTGATTTAATCAAAAGCATAGGAGTTGCAATTTTACTAACTAGCTTTGCACTGAAACTATGGTGGCATAGAAATAATGCTGCAATCCATCTATTTTCCTAACCTCTACCATAATTAAAGAAACACATATGCTGAAGGAAACTTTTTCATCTCTTCTATTCCCTCATTTCTGCAGATGAGGAAATAGGCCCAGAGAAAAGCTAAGAATAGAAGCTACCTATGGAAAAGCTAAGAATAGAATTCAAGATTTTGCTACTTCCTTGTTATTTCTACCACTCTGGTTCTCCCTAGGGTTTTTATGATTAAAAGAAAAATGCAAAATTCCTTTTCTAACACAAATATACCCCTTTCCATTCCTATGAAAAACTGATACTGTAACTCTGAGGCATCTCCTAAAGCTATTAATATAATATATAACAAGAGTCTTTGGTATTGACTTTAAAGCTGAAGACTTATCTAATGAGGTACACCTACCTTTGAAAAACAATGCTAGAAACTGCAAATAACTTCAGTAGGAAACAGAGAACTGGCCAAATAACAATCAACACCTTTCACTATTCATTGTATTTTTCAAAATTTAGTCTGAGGGCTTTCAATAATAAATTCTCATTTAGCAGCAAAAAGATCTCTTAGACTAAAACAAATATTGACAGTAGTAGATGTAGGATAAGGAGAAGCTATGATCATAATCAAAAAGTTAAAAACTGAAACTAATGGGAAAACATTTTTAAGTTTTATTAAGTAATCTCTACACCCCATGTGGGGCTCAAACTCAGGACCCCAAGATCAAGAGTTGCATGCCCTTCCAACTGAGCCAGCCAGGCACCCCAATGGGAAAACATTTTAAACACCAACCATTTGTATGATATTTTAAAAGTTGAAAAATAATTACATCAAGAAATCATATCATTAAAATCTTGAATAACAACAGTAAAAAGAATAGATAACTTCTTTTCTGGAACAACATGTTTTACAGTTCTAAAGTTAGACCCACATTTATAAAAGCATTCTGGAAATGAGAAACACCATTAAATTTATTTAGAGGTGTGCTATGATTTCAACATATGTATACAAGGCACCACTGTCTAGTAGGAGCCAGTAAGTCCTAGATTTGAATCCAAGTTCTGTACTGATCATGTGTCCTTGGACAAAAGACCTTAGTTTTATTATCTGTAAAATGGGAATAATACCACCTTTCTAGCCTGTTATAGGAATCGCATATATGTGTAGTATGTAGATAGGTGTGCTTACATACATGTATACACATATGTGTTTTGCAAGAATAAATTCCAAATAATAAATTTAATACTTATAAACTTGAGGGGCGCCTGGGTGGCTCAGTCGTTAAGCGTCTGCCTTCGGCTCAGGTCATGATCCCAGGGTCCTGGGATCGAGCCCCGCATCAGGCTCCCCGCTCGGCGGGAAGCCTGCTTCTCCCTCTCCCCTCCCCCTGCTTGTGTTCCCTCTCTGGCTGTGTCTCTCTCTGTCAAATAAATAAATAAAATCTTTAAAAAAAAAAATACTTATAAAATTGAGATACTACAATTAAAATTAGAAATTATGGCATTACAAACATCAGGTCTCCACATAAAACTACCACTCCACAAAAAATATTAATATATATTTTTAAGTCTCTTCTCTTCTCTCTCTTCCCCTGAACTTTTGGTACTACTCATTCCTGATTCCCCCCCAGTTCTTTCTCAGTTACTTTTACATATTCTTCTTCCTCTGTTAAACCCTAAAAGGTAGCATTCTCCACAAGAAAAGGAAAAGGAACCCTTCTTATTAGTTCTCCTTCCCTCTCATTCTGCCCATACTACTTCACCAAATTCAATTTCCATGTCTACTTACAAGTTTACAATTCACCAATTTCTCTAGCTCTTCAATGTTCAACAGGCACCACAAAATCAGTATATCCAAAAATAAACTGATTATATAGCCCAATGTTATCTGGGCTGCAATGTTCAGTTCCTCGTATAATCCCTATTTAGGGGAATGACATCACTGCAAATAACTGCAAACACCAACACCAAAACAAAAACAAAGACAAACAAAAAAACTTGGGGACTCAATCCCACATTCTTGCCCTCCATAGCCAACTGATTACCAATCCTATTGGTTCTACCTCCTATGATCCATCCTCTTCTGCTTCACTCCACCGCTACATCATTTCTCAACTGGATTACTCAACAGAGTGCTCATTCAGCTTCATGCCTTTTGTTTCACTCTCTCCTGATCCCTGTAAACAATAAGTCTATCATATTATCTCATAACTGGTTGGTGAACCACTGAAGGGATAGGTTTTGAAAGCCCTTCATGAGATAACCCCTATCTTTTATTTCTTAACCTCCTTTCTTTTTCTTCCCTTTCCTTTCCAAGTATTCCACAGTGTGTCATGTTGTCTCATTCTGTCTCTGCCAGCTGTTCTCTCAGCCCAGAATAGTACATTCTTGTTCTCCAGGCAAACTTGATTCATCTTTCAAGAGCTAGTTCAAGTGCTCCTCTGTAAAGTCTTCTCTAATACCATAACTGAGACAGATGTAATCATCCCTTGCTTTATACATTCTCTATACCTTGAGTTAACTCTATTTTATCACTCTTATATAGTCCAGTAATTATTTTCACATGTTTTTCTCTCCCATTAATGGTAAGATCCCTGAAGAAGAAAATTGTGTCCCTTCTTCTTTGTACTTCGTAGGCTAGCACAGTGCTTGGCATATAATAGGACTTTGTTTAAGTATGCTGAATATTGCATGAATAAATCAACAGTCCTATGAAAAAAATCATACAATATAAGCATAAAATTCACGAAGGATTTATACTCTTCCTTTTTTGTCATGACACACTGGCTCAGTAACCAAGAAGTAGGCCAATTAAGCAGCCCTAATTTTATTGCCCCAAAGAGACTGACCTCTCAACTCTAACTACTAGAGCAGTGCTTGACCTACTTGCTCTCACCGTTTTCTTCCCCTCACTGGTTGCTCTGACAACTCACATGGGACAAAGAATTCTATTTTCTGCAATATCAAATCAAATTCTTTCTAACTGTGACAAGTCTAAAGTATTATAATGTGTTTAATCACAAGACAGACATGTCCTTACTAAAATAGAAACACCACTGAAAGACTGGTTTGTCCTTCAAACAAACAAACAAAAAACCCTATGATTTAATTATAAGAACTCTTAGCTG